CTCAGTCACGCTCTACTCTGTCACTGCGGGCGCGGGCGGCGGCTGAGGCAGGGCGGGTCGCCGCCGCCGCTTCCAGACCACACCACACCACCACTCACCAGGGGCAGGGCACCCCCGTCCATCGCCGTCGTGTGTACCGGCCGGGAGACCGTCCAAATCTGGCCCTGCAAGCGGCGGGGAGGCCCTCCATCGCCTGGAGGCAGGGCTGGTAGCCACCGGCTTGGAATGGGCAGAGTGGTTCCTGGAGCGAGCGTACGTCGTGTCGTGGCAAATGTTGCGAGTGTCGTGTGTGGACACTGGACATGAAGAGTGTGCAGGATCACGTGACAGGCGAGTGAACACTAGCACACCTGATCCTGTGATCCATCATCATCCATACACAGACGACACAGTGTCCAAGTGGCAAGTGTGCTGACTTGCATCAGGTCGGGTGGAGTACTATACATCCCTCCTATCCTATGGTAGGGTATCTTGGTATATCCAGTGGCATCCAACCCACGATCAATCATGGAGGAGGCGACACGGAGGCCTTGGCCACACGCTGCTCGGGACAGGTCGCTTTCCCCCGAAAGGCACTGGCACGAGCACCAGCAGCCAGGAACCGCCACAGCCAGACAGACGACCATGGCGGGCCGGGGCGCGGACACCAACGGCCAACCAGACGAGATGCCTTGCAGCCGCACGCACACGCTGGTCCCTCCCGCCCGGCGCCGAGCACAGGCCACGGAGGCACAGAGAAGCTCTTGGCATCCGCGAAGCGTTGCCTTTTGCCCCTGGGTGCTCGCCACCCTCGCGGTCCGCCGCGTCGCGGCCGCACTGCGTGCTGCTCTACCACCACCACTAGGCTAGTAGCCGGGCCGAAACTGAGAGCAGAAAGCAACCAACACGCCACCACCAAAGGCAGAGGACAAGGACTAGGACCCCGATCCGACCGGCGCTAGGATGATCACACCGTACCACTGCAATAGCATAATCTTGCAAAAACCATTCACGGTGTATACCGTCTGATGCATCTTCTTCGGCCGACAGAGGAGAGAATGGCTGAAGATATATAGAAATATTTATCCATCCAGTGTGAGAAAGGGATAACTCTATGTTTTGGCATCCTGAGTTTGATTTTATCCTTCAAACTTGTAACGGAAATGCTGTACGCGTCCCGTCCGGACGCTCCTTTATGGGCCTACGTCCCGGCCCAATAAATCGTTGACCTTGCTGCTCGCCTGCTCCGTCAGCCGCCCCGCTCCTCCTGCTCCTGTTCCGCGTGCCGCTCCTACTCCGCCGCACAACCTGCTGCTCCTGCCGCTGCTTATGTATCCTGTTCCGACGTCCACCCCGCTACTCCTAATGCTACTCTTCTTCGCTGCCCGCCCCGTCCCCAACGACGCTAACAGGCGCCATCAAGCGCAAGGAGAAGCGTCGGGTCCTGGCATGGAAGCCCTCTAGCCTCGCCTCCTCCTATGGCTGCGGAGGAGGCCGCACCGGGATATGATGCATGTTGCAAATATAGAATTCAAAATGTTTCAGAAGTTTGAGAGGTATGTTGCAAGCATTGTATATCGATGTTGCAAAAGTAGATCGGGATGCTGCATATATTTTAATGGCTATACACGTATGTTTCAAGTGTATATCCCAAATGTTTCATCTATTCCAGACGAATGTTGTAAGCGTTTTATCTGGATGTTGCAAAAGTGGATCTGGATGTTGCATATACATGCATGTTGCAAACATATGTTTCAAGTGTTTTCAGATGTTTCATACGTATGTTTGCAAGTGTTTTCATCTATATGTTGCATATGTTTGTAATGGTTTCAAATGTTTCTCAAATGTTTTGCTAAGTGTTTCAAACGCTTGTTTCAAGTGTTTCATCTATCTTTTTTGTATATTGCAACTGTTGTATCTGTATGTTGCACATAGGATACGCGTGAGAAGCGGCTGGCGACGCGGTCCACGTTCGGGGCGGCGTGGGCGACGTCTGGAGCGACGCAAGCCCATTGCTGGTGCGCTCGCTTCGCGCCCTGTGCGAGCAGCGTCCAGACGCTAGCGCCCGGATCGGACGTATGGGCGCTAGCAAGTCCGAACTTGTAAACCAGAAAATCTTTGACCACAAGACTATTATTAGAATTTTTCATATTTGGACGGACTGATCATAAATCAGTTGGTTGGGTTCCTTGTGGTGGAACATGTCTACCCGGACTTAAGTCCTCGACTTGGCATGGGTGTTTGCATTTTTCTGCATTTATTTCAGGATTTAACGACGATATGCTTTCAGTGGTAGGTGATGTCTCCGTCGACAGCAAGGCGTTTGTGGTGACTTCATGAATCTCGAAATCTCCTTCGGAGGTGCTCATAGAGGCAGGATTTACATACATGTATATAGGGGTGAGTGTGCGTGCGTGTTGTGAACATTAATGTTGTACTGTGTAATTCTAAATATAAAAAAATCTTTTCTATTTGGCGATTGAACTACATCTAATTTTTTCCCCTATTTGGCGATTGAACTACAGAGTAGTTTCAATGGCGGCTTTAGTAACGCAGTGGCAACTGGAAGTTTGATCCACTCATTAGACCTCCCTCTTCTTCTCTCCACGCCATCTCTTTTGGCGCTGCCACCGCCTCCTCCTCCCTCCTCATGTGTTGCATGGTGCCTCCTTTGCCTCCCTCTCCTCGTCCGCTTCGCGCGAGGAACGAGGAGGGAGGAGATGATGGCTATGTGCCTGTGGAGTGAGAGAAGCCGAGAGATGGCGTGATGATGAGAGAGGAGATAGAGGCCTAATGTCTAATGAATCAGCATAGAAAACAATCGAATGGCTAAAATATAAACAGTTTTGATAGTTCAATGGTAAGAGATTTTATTGACAACCAAAATTGTCCATTTTGTGAAGTTGTCAAAATATGAAACGCACTACATCATTGCGTTTCTCTCGTCGAGATGATCAAAAAACATATATGGAACGACCAATTCGGAGTCCAAATGAAGGAGTTATGCCCCCGGGAAGATGACCCGTTGCTAGAAGTTCTGACCCAAGTTGGAAGTTTAAGTTGTCGGAACTTCCGGCTAGCCTAAAGAAATTTGCTCGGGTGCCTGGGGTTATTCCCACATCAGGAGTTCCGACAAAGGTCGGAAGTTCCGACAAAGGTCGGAAGTTCCGACACCCGAAAGCTCCGGTGGAGGTCAAAATTTTCGACAGACCTAATAAAAAACCCTGTTCGAATCTGGTCTTTTGAATTCCGATCCGAACTATTCTAAACTCATGGGAAACTTGGAAAATAGGTCTTGGAGAGGTTTCCTATTGTGATAAAACCACCCCTCTATATATATGAGAGAATCATGACCGATTGAGTTTTCATCTACCCGATCGTCAAAAATACATCTATTACCTAGTTTTACCTTTTTCCAACCCTCTTGCTGTTCATTGCATCTCTCCACGAGATTCATTGGCGTTCTAGACAGCCTTGCTGGTCCTAGAATACCCCTAGGCGTGCTCCTCCCTGGCGGGTCCTCCCGGGAGGTGTTCCAGGCTTTTGCGGCGTTGGACAGGCACTAGATCGGCCTAACCAGTCTCTAGATCAGTTTAGTTGTTTTAAAGTTATTTGCTGCGTATTTCAGGTTGTGTGCAACCTAGAGCGAGCTGGCCCTTACTTGTGTGTGACTTAGAACGTAATCTAACGTCAACAGATTTCTAACTTTCAATGGTCGAAAATGGACTTATCCATCGCTAGCATGATCGCAGCAGTTCTTTGCGCTGCGGCTGTGACTGTCGGTAGCATTGGCTACAGTATCCCGTACTTGTTATCTTGCAGCCTAAAAAGCTGATGCAATCGTTGTTCAACTGCAAACGTTGAGCACCAGACAGTACAATCCACTACTGTATAATATATAATATTTTCAAGACCTTGTATAAGTGCAACAGAATCAATTTCGCGGCGAGCCTGCAACTTGCAGCAAGCAGACGGGGCATCAGTCGCCCCGTTCTTGTTTGTCTCGTAAGCCATGACTAAAAGTATCGTTGGCGCATCAGTCGCTCCATTCTTGTTTGTCTTATAAATCATGACTAAAAATATCGTTGACTAATTTAGTGTAAGAAAAAAATATTATTCATTGGCTGAAAAAATACGACTTACGTACGACTTACGAGCCACCAGGCTCAAACGATCGAGGCGAGTGGCCGCGAGCCATCCGTTCCGCCACTCAACTCCGGGGCCTGGCTGACCGTGACACGGAACAGCGATGCATACAATACAATACAATAGCCAACCTGTCGAGTTGCTGCTGACGACGATGGCGCTTGCCGATTCCTTTTTTTTTCCAACGCTAGTACTGATTGGAATTGTTGGAATGGATTGGCTTGCTTTTCATGTTTTGTTTATTTATATTATAAATCTCATCAGATGCTGCTGCCCACTGTCCTTGGATCTCCAACAGTGGCTAGCCACGGATGATGATGCTCGGTGGCTCAGTGTCAGTGTAACCACACCACACACCCTGGCCCAAAGCATCTTTCTACTGCTATTTATTTTGCTTCATCTATATATAAACCTCCTTTCTGTCAGTATGTGCATCTACTAATCATCATGGTAATGAAAGGCCACCTTGTCTGTCGATTAGTGAATGGACATGGATCTATTCTATCATGACCCAGTTCACAGGCATAGTCCTGATCATGAGCTAGTACTTCTGTGCCAGCAGAAATGGCCCAGGCCCAAAAGCCTTATTGGGTCCATGGGCTCAATCGAGTAGTGAGTGACTGAACACGAACCGAAACATCTCCACACATACACTTCTGTTCTGTGGACAAACAAAACCAGGCAGAGTTAGATAGTCTGTTCACATGGGTCCGCGACGTTCATTTCATATGCATCCCACAACGCGAAAAAGCACTCGTTGCTGATCTTGGTATAGGTACTAACGTCGAATGGAGCTAAGCAATAACATGAACACCTTCTACAATAGCAATGTGCATGACAGCGCCAGCACTACTCTGATCCTCTGTCGACCTCTGCTACCTATCTTTCAGCTCCTTTTCAAACTCGCGCAGCTTCTCCTGGATAGGTGAAAGGAAGGACTTCATATCCTTGCAGATTTGAGCTTTGTCATCCGAGGACAGATCCTTGGCATCGCTTAATGTTACGTTTACCTGAAACAAAAAAAAAAACAAGCAAGATAATACCACGAGAACCGTCTGTCATAATGCGCAATCTATCGATTCAATTCACCACTAGAGTCACATGAGTAGAGAGTTTCATGCAAGATGGTGTTTTCACCTCCAAGTCTTCAAGCTCGCCAAATGAAAATTCAGGAATCTCTAGATGACCTTTGACCTTCTTGTTTTCTTCCTTAATTGACCATTCACCTGAAGAACACCACCATAAGTGGTATTTCAGTACAGGAACGCAATCTTGATGAAGGGTGTTGACCTTGGAAATGTAACAAAACAAAATCACCTTTAAATTTCAAGCTCAATTCATAAGTATAGCCTACTCTCTTCTTATTGCGGACAATGACCAAGAACGCCTGCCAAAAGAACCAAGATATTGCTCAGCAACTTTGGTTATTGTAGTATATGAGTTACAGTTAAAGGGAAAAATTATCCCAAGATACATCAGACTAAGACAGTAGAGACAATTCCTTACTACTGGCTTAAATGCAACCTAACAAAAAAAAAGGGTAAAGCCAAAACAACAAAATTTAGCACTCCGTTATCAAAATACAGAAATGGAAACAGCCCTCTCCCCTCCGTAAGCCTATACACTTTTGTAGTTTGAGTGTTTGACAGGAAGAAACAGAAAACTACCATAGACCTAAACTGAATGTCTATCTAATGCCTGATTCATGGAGTGAAAAAATGTCACAGAACTTATATGAATCTTAATGGAAGATAAAATTATTAGCTGCCCAAAAACTAATGTTTGTACAATTTTCAATTTTCTACTTTGCTGAGCCACTATTGAGGCTCAGGCTAGCATTGTTTTATCTACTTTGCTGAGCCACTATTGAGGCTCAGGCTAGCATTGTACTCACCAGTTCCTACTTCTATCTGTATTGTTTTAGCGTGCTGCGTGAACATCAGGAACTGATAGAGTACAAATATGTCAAGATCAGTTTAAAACTCAAGCATTCGTAGTGCATTAGTAAAAAAATGTATACTTGTTGATCCGCAAACAAGCAATTATGGAGGAAAAGTTTTCAGGAATGTAACACGTAGAGGGTAAACCCTGAGGCATGGTTCAAAAACTAAGCTAAGAAATCATAAAACCCTTATGATAATTTTTGTGTCTCATATATATAATACTCGATATTTCCTCTCCAAATTCTTTGAAGGCTATTAAATTTTACTTTACTATCTTCTAACAGTTTCGTTGTTTATGTTGATGAATATAGCAGAGAAAATTTATCTGAAGAAACAATAGGAATGACTGTCCACCATTGAGCGCTTTTGAATAAAATGAAAGAGATACTCTGTTCTGTGAAAAGAGGCTACTCAGTACTCACGTCGCCTGAGCATCTGGATACTTCATAAACAGATGCCTTGCCAGTAGATAACTCCAAAGGATCTAAAGACCCCAGCAAATCCTGTACTTGAAAAGTATCGAAGACTACTCAGGTGAAAATTCAAACAGAAAACAGTAGTGCGTGTGTGATGTGCATGTATTCCAACAGTTAACTGCACGAGTCTAACCTTTATCCTACTATTGGCCCATGAATTCAAATTCTTTTCCTCCCAAGTGCCAGCCTGCAAACAACACAACAAAACTTAGTTGAGCCACGTTGCTGCCAATAACGAAGTTAGGCGATTCAATAGAAGCTATTAGAACTGGTTAGGAAAGATCACACCAGTGACCAGGCAACATTGAAACCGCATTATGAAACCAATGTTGTACTGATGAAATAGAAGTTCAGGATAGTGTCATCCAACTAAAACCGCATACTCGAGGTGTTCTGTGCATTTCGATAATTCCAATGCAGTCATCTTTGGTGTCAGCTTCGTGGTTACATGGGAGTTAGGGCCTGTTTGGTTCCTTCTCATCCTTCTAAAATTTCTGTCACATCGAATGTTTGGACACATGTATGGAGTATTAAATATAGACTAATTACGAAACTAATTGCATAAGGCACATGATTGGTTTATGCCTAATTTTTATGATTTGACAACGTGGTGGACTGTGAGCATGTGCTAATGATAAATTAATTAGGCTTAAAAATTTCATCTCGGAAATTAGCCTCCATCTATATAATTGGTTTTGTAATTAATTTATATTTAATGCTCTTTATTAGCCTCTAAATATTCGATGTGACATAAATTTTAGGAGCGACTAAAGAACCAAACACCCCCTTAGTCACAAAGAGCAAAAGCTGAAGGCTTCCATGAAGCTTTCTCGTACTAGGCACATGATTGGTTTATGTTTTTTAAGTCATGCCGTGGACTGTGAGCTTGTGACATTTCGTACTTACAAACATGGATCGTTTGGGGCGCGTTTGCGACCCTGGCCCGGACGGTGGCTCGCGCTCCCCAGCTGCAGCGGCCCGTGTTTGCCGTCCGTGGCCCGCTCCCTGGCCTGGCTCGCACGCTGCTCAAAGCAGCCTGCAGCCTGGCTCCTAGGAAACGACCAGGGGGTTCGTTTCTTGGCGGCCCGGCTCGGCGGAGCGAGACGGAGCACACGGTGCGCGAGCTCGTCACCTCCCGGCCTCACCTCCTCTCTTCTCCGTTCGCTTCTCCTTCACCGTCGCGCGGCTTCCTCCTTTCGCCTGCCGGTGACATGCCCACCGCCCCACCACACACCTCCTCTTCTGTGCCGCCGTCCTTGAGTACCTCGACGCGGAAGCAACAGCAGCTGGAGGAGGTGGTGGGATGCCATGCGATGGGGCCAAGGACGCGAACCAATTCGAGCGGCTCCACGACGCGGTGCTGCTCGTTGTCCTCAACCGCGAGGCCGGTAAGGAGGACCTGAGCGCGCGGTCGGCAAGGAGGACCTGGGTGTCGGAGCTCGTGGCCGCCGCTCTGCCTCGTCCAAGCAGACCCGCAGTGTGTTCGATGAAATGACTACAAGGATAGAGAAGGGAAGGATTGTGTGGTAATGCTACCACTTCTTGGATGCAAGGTGAGCATAACACGTGGTACAGGGAAACAAACACAATCCCTGTTTGGCCTGGCTCATTTGATTCAATGGAGCAAACAAGAGTGCTTGCACCATGTCAGCCGGGCCTAGGCTGGCCACGACCAGGCCAGCCGGCCATGCCGGGCAGAGACAGGTGAGCAAACACGCCCTTGATTTCAGTTTTGAGAACTTGCACGAGGATATACTGTTATATACCCTGCCTATCTACTGTGAAACACGGATCGATCGATTTCAGTCTTGAGAACTGGTACGAGGATATACAGTTATATACCCAGCGCCTACCTACTGCGTTAGGTAGAGTCGTAGAGAACCGATTGCAGTTAGAATACAGAGAAAACTACAGTGTTCCACAGCTTTTCTCACAACAAGGCAGGTCCAAAGATATTTTTTGTTTTTAAGATTTATAAGTCCAAAGTCAAGTCAATCTCAATCAGTCTAGCTTCTACTAGTATGTCACTACAGGCATCTACTACCTCTGTCCCAAAATAGAAGTTAGTTTCGCTTCCCGAAAAGTCAGTTTTTTCTACATTTGACCAATTATATATAAAAGAATATTAATATTTATAATATATAATTAATATCATTAGATAGGTCGTTGAATATACTATCATAATAAATTTATTTAGAGAAATAAATATTGCACGTATTTTCTAAAGTTAAAAAAATTTGACCAACACGTATCACATAACGTCATCTACGATGAGAGAGGGAATATAGCACAAGGAGAAAATAAAAACAAAACATTCGCCCATTTCGGCATTTCACCATCAGACATATATCAGGTTAAACGGAGGGAGAGAGAGCGGGACCTGGTTCCAGACGGAGCCGAGAGCGGCGGGCGTGGGGCTGGCCGCGAGGGTCGGCGCGTCGCTCGCGAGCTTGCGTGGCGCTGGGCAGCGGCGGCGGCGCGTGCCGCCGTCGCCTCCCGCACCCAAAGACTCAGACGACGTCGTCTTCTCCGCCGCCACCGCTGTCGCAGACGCCGCCTCCTCCATGGCTCGCTAGCTAGCGGTGACTCTAGGCGGTGAAGCGGAGATCGTCTTGCTCCTTGGGGCAGTGTGGGTTGGGTTGGGTCATTTGTCTTGCTTCAGGAGAGTTCGCACCCGTCCACGAGGAGCGAGAAGCAAGAAGTAAGATTTTTTTTGAGACTAGCAAGAAGTAAGATTGGGTGGGCATGGGCACACCACTCCAGTTTTGACGCTTTCAAATTTTTCCTCCCGATGTCTCGGGAAGATTCCTCGCCACGTGCTTCTTCTTCTTCTTCTTTTTTTTTACTGTAATTGGTCTTTTACTCGCTCATTAAATCGCATTAAGATCACAATTTCTTTCGCGTCACTCCCTTTGGTACAAGACCAAATTTTTTCCCTCCATGTTTTTTTAATGTCTTTTTCCCTCCATGTTACTCTTTGGTTTCCGTCTTGTTTTCACGGCTATTCGGTTCAGTCACGTCACGTATGCGTCTAGGCACCTTCAATCGTTTTTGTTTGATTGGTTTGTCCATGCAAGTCCCCTGGTACTAGTTTGTTGGGAGAGGAAAACATTTATCATAGACTTAGTGAAATCAACAAGCGAACATCTTTGAATTGCTTGACTTAGTGACTCGCTACTCTCTGGTTGACTCGTGTTCACTTGTGCCCTCTCTTTCCTTGAAACCCTAGCGGTGGCGGAAGCGAACAAAGCAAATCCCCCCTCATTTTGGCGTCGCATGGGGTATGAGGACATATATGAGCTCTAGGGACAGATTGGATCGGGTTTGGAGGAGAAATGGCGAAGAACAGGGAAGGTGGTCCTCCGACTGCAGATGGGTGAAATCTTCTTCTCTTCAATTGGATCTTGTTTCTTTCGATCTTGAACTATAGCTTGTACCACATTGATTATGTTAAGACTGATCTCGTTAGATGTACATAAACTCGTCCTTGTTCATTTGTAGGATGGACCCAGAGACGAGCAACCCTTATAAATTAGGGTGATTGCTTCCAATACGCACACACGGTGGTTTCCCATTAACAAAGTTGTTCTAGATAAGTTTCCTTGCAATTATGGAGATTTCATGAAGGTGTTCTACTTCTGTGCTGACATGACAACGTTGAAATCAGTTCGGACCAAGACTCACTTTAGATGCTTGTGAAACATAAGACTACCAAGTGTTGTTTCTTGTCTTTTGCTTTAGTCCTGCTAGTTGTCATGACCCAATGGTCGTTCCAACTGAAACTTTTCAGACACACCTCTTGAAGCTCGGAACCCTAACCAACACCTTCCATGGACCCTGACCCGAACTCTTGCTACATATCGCAACACGCTTGGATCACGAATCTCCATCAATCTTGTCACAAGGCCATAACCTCTTTTCGACCCTCCTCCAGCAATGGACAGTCTTGTTAGCGTCATGAAAGCTTTTGGATCTTAGCTCCCGATGGACAAGGACTTTAATTCAGCTCTTAAACTTTATAACCGTCAACTGAAGTCAACTTGGATCAATTCAATAGTTGACTTAGCTACAAAAATCTCAAGGTTATTGTCCGAAAGGTAATCTCTGATCCTCTAATGGTTCCCATATAATGTTTATGAGCGTAATTAAAGACTCAATTTCCATCTCTCTATCTGGAATCAAAGTTCCCCAAAATTCATGTTCTCCCAGATTTCCATCTTTCTAATGGTTTTGTTCAAAATATAGTTTTTTTTTAAAAAAAAAACTCTACTCATGACCTCTTTTGTCTAATACAGGCTGTTAGGTTATCGCCATATAATTAACAACATTACCTTTATATTATGGATGTCATGGTTATCATAAAATAGTTATAGCTTTTAATCTCCATAGATACTATGAAACATAAATAGATATATAGCATTTACATCATTGTTTCCCTTGAACGTTTGATAATCTTTTTCTCGTCGCAACACACCCTTATATTATGGATGACATGGCCATCATAACATAGTTATAGCTTTTAAATTAAATTTTGTAGAAATGGTAGAACATAAGTAGATATATAGCATTCACGGTGTCATTTTCCATGAATGTTTGATAATTTTTTTCTCGTGACAACGCACAGATATTTGCTAGTATATATATAAATAAACAAATCATTAAATCCCAGCATGATTCGTCTGGGTGGGTGGGTGCGTGGGCCTGAATTCGGACGAAACTACCAGCGTACCTAGGTAGATTGGGCCTTGATTCGGCCCAGGTGAATAAGACGCAACCGACCCTCGTTGCCACACACGCGCGCTTGTGCCCGACTGCCATAAATAAAAAATAAAAATAAAAAAAGAGTAGGTCGCTGGCCAAACCAAGCCTGCATTCCTTGCCAACCTCGCGTGTCCGTTCTGCTGCACCTATCGGAAACCTACCCTTTACCTGTTCTGTTCGTGCACTACAGTACTTCCTATCCTATGTCGCTCGTCGCAAATCGACAGACTCACGGATACACTTGCTATTTCTTACTCTACTACCTGCGACTAGTAGCAGTAGTAGGAGCAGGTTGCTTGTTTCTGGTCGGCGACTTGTCCGTCCGTCGCGTCCGTGCTGTTTGTCCAGATCCTTGGGCCCAACCATCGTGTTCGTTCCTCGTGCGTTCCTGTGACCTGTTATATGACCAGTACACCTGTCCTATTCCCCCGTTGCTGCCTCCATGGTTCTACTACCTGTTTCGATTCTTCTTCTTCCTGCAAAGCGATAGCACGGGAGTTTGCATCGCTATCCCGTCTCTCAGGCGCTCTCGCTCGGTCGCTCCTCCATCACCGCACGCGTTCTCCTCGACTAGGGTAACCCTTCTCTACCGCACAAACAAACCCACTATTCATCCGCAGCTGGCGGAACTGAAGATCAACACGACCGCGGCGCAGAGCAAGGGCTCGGCGAGGAAAGAATCACGAGGGGTCGTCCCACCTCCCTTCGGCACGTGGAACGCCGGTGTACCACAGCCAGAAGCACGCCAAAGCGTACACCTTCGATGACGACGGAGATGCCGCTGCAGGCTGCTCCACCGCGCCTACGCTAACGGAATTCCATCACGAGACCGGATTCAACACGGTAAGCTTGACGGCGGCGTCTCCACTCTCCAAGAACCCCCTTCAACTCACCATCGCGATGTACACCTGCAGACATGCTGAAATGTGCAACCGCTCAAAGGATGCACCTAAGTGTTTGACGAAATGCACGTTCGGAGCGCTGTCATTTGGACATCCGTCCTTGCCTCCGCCTCAGCATGCTTGGACAACGCACTCACATTGCTGAAGGGCATGCTGCGCTGAACCACCGGCGCGGGCATATCTACGACTGCGACCACACAATTGTTGCGGCAGCGGCATCCATTGTGCCTATTGGTCAAGCCGCGTCGAGCCGTCGACTCTCTCTGAGTTGGCGTGGTCACTGACGATGCTGCTCAATAACAAGGGCCAAGCCCATGCAGTGGACTGCCAAACTAAAACGTGCAAGCACATTGCCCTTCACTTTCTGAAATTGAGTATTACCATTATCATAATGATAGTGGACTTTATATGAATTCATCGTCGCACTATAACTTAGGATACAATTCTTCTGCAGCTCTATTTCGTATACCATTGCTTTGTTGTGCCTGCAAGTAGGCTTAACTGACATGTACAGAAATTAACACTAATGAGACCAAAACTTTTTTTTCTTATCACAGGCCAGAAATCTTCTAAATTCATCCTGGCACTACAAATTAGTATATGATTTTTCTGCAGCTCTATGTCCTATACCATTGCTTTGTTCTGCCTGCAAGTAGGATTAACTGACATGGTAGACAAATTAACACAAATATCAAAATTATCCTTTGTTACTGTAGGGCAGTAATCTTTTGCTACTCATCACTAGAATTTTCAGAACTGTTTACTTTAACTACGTGATGGCATGCTACTACCTTAGATTTCGTAGTGTACTACAATCTGAATTTTTCTGTCCGATTCAATACGGCAATACCTATACTTGCCAAATCCATATGCTTGTTAGTTATCTTGTGATAAATAAAGCACCTGATTGTTTTATCATTCTGAATATTATAATATTTGGAAAAGTTTATTTTACCTGCTTGGTGGCATGCTACTTCTTTTGCAATTTATTGAGGCACTGAATTATCTTTTTGCCGAGTATTTTCAAAGGCCGCAAATTCCTAAGGAATCAGAAACCATGAATCACATAATGAGATCCTATCTTAAAGTTGGCTTTAGACTTCATTGCCAAGATATCTCAAATATAAATCATTGTGAGTTATTATATAGCTATATTCATGAACGGTCTTTCCTATTCATGCATGCTAATGGTTGATATGACTTGCTTTTCTAAATTCATTCTGTACATTTTCCCCTCTACAAGGTCCTAACTATAGAGTTTTATCTTGTATTGTCATTTTGAGTGTTGTGATTTATGGTTTTATCATAATTGTTCACTTTTAATGATAAATATATAGCCTTCACAAAACACTGCCTAGGAGCTATGAAGTTCTGGCCAACGTTGACTGTTGCCCTTTTCTTTTCACTTTGTTGTTTACAAATTTGGAAGGTACATTGTTTACAGCCAATCACATGTACTCCATTAACAAGCTCCAGTACCCGATACAGTATGAGAGAGTAATGGATGGAAACAATTAACAAGGAAGCAAAGCAGGGGGAATCGAGGATCTGGGGAACACCGAGAAGGCTCTAGAAGGTTCTAGAGATACAGCAAGGGAAGCTTGAGGTAGAGGAAGAGCCACTGCAGGACAGGACAGGAGGAAGGAGTCTCTCCCCCCCCCCACCGGGTTTCGTGTTGGCCCAAGCATAGTAATCATCCCTAACACACACTTGGGCCCGTTCATTTGGCTGAAAACACTGTTCTGGCTGAAAAAAAGAAGCCAAACAAGACGGATTATAAGGTAAGCCGAATGGGGCCGAGGAAAACATGCTGATAGTTTGACAATGTAAAACAAGGTGGTTATTGGGGAACAGTGCTTGTTAGATGGTTTTCAGTTTTGTTATCGTATTTGTCGTATTTGGAGGACAGATCCATGGAGAGGATGCTGAAAGCTGTTCGGCTGATGGTTTCTGCGGCTGATAAGTCGGCTAAAGCTGATTTATATAAGAAAAAAATACTGTTCCATAGCTGATAAATCAGACTGATAATTTTTAGACGTAGGCCCCGTTCGCTTGGAGGAATTTTGAGGAATCTGGAGGGATTTGTGAGAGAAACCATTCATGAACAGTGAAATTCCTCCGCAAACAGTGCTCCATCCAAACCAGCCGAACGAGCCCGTAGAAAGCACATCCAAGAAGAATAGTTTTATGATGTTGTCCCTGTGAAACCCAAAACAGGTATGCAAAATATGGAATGTGTACTGACATTGGTAAGACGAATACAGTAAATCACTAATTACTATTGTTGGTTATCTAAATCTATTAACAATAGTGACAAATCTGCTTATCAAAGGCAGAGAATAGTATACTGGTCTGGTAATCCATTTAAATCACAAGATACATATCCTGCCGCGCCTATGTTTCTAGTTCTTTAGGAACCGGTTTATTTAGTTGCCCTATTTCTCTCTCTCTCTCTCTCTCTCTCTCTCTCTCTCTCTTCAAATCTTCTGTTTTTGATTGCAAGCAATAAGTGATAATAGTAGCAGATGGTGCAGAAAACATTCGATGCAAACTTAATCTGCAAAAAATCACTGCGGCGAACATGACATTTCAGGTGCATCTCCACTAGGTAGAATACAAGGCAAAATATACCCGGAGTGAGAAATTTCCCATATGAATTTTAGTATCAATGCGTATCTGTGCATCATTTGAAGACATTTAGTATGCATCTCAAAACAGTTTTCATAACTTGTACTACTACCTCCGTGCAATTATAGTACAGTGTCACGTTTCACTACCTTAAATTTGACCAATTATAGATAAAAAATATTTATGTTTATGATACCAAATAAATACTATCATATTAATTATGAAATATATTTTTATAATAAATTATTAAAGATATAACTGTAAATATTATTTACTAAAAATTTGGTCAAAAATAATTTATTTTTTATGGCATATAACTTATAGTTGTATTGTTTTTAGACTGAGGTAGTACATCCAAAGAGTGGTTCGCACCAATTATAGATGAAAAAGTATTCCCATTGCCAGCGAAGACTGACACAATGTCTTAATCACTGCCTCTTTTTTGTTCGCTACTACTAATGCCGTGATTTTAGCTAGTGAATGTATTAAACAAACGGGGTACTTGGCCCCGTTTGACCGGGCTCCGGACAGCTTCGGCTCCCGCGTCGAATCACAGTGTAGGAGTCGAAGCACGAGAGCCCACCCAAATGGAGCCTTAGGATATGTTTGGCACGACTCCTCCTGAGGGGCTTCTTTGGAGGAGCCAGAGCTGTTTTAGAGGAATCACAATTTGTGGCTTCTCCAAAACGGCTTCGACTCATCTGTTTTTTTACTGAAAAACGATTCTTTCAAGAAAATATTTGGCAGGCTCCTCTGGAGAAGCTGGAGCCGAAGCCAGAGAGAAGCCCTACCAGGTCCTTAATTTGTTATCCTTTTCTACGTATGTGCCAACTCATGTTTGAGAGCAACAGTTGGGGCACTGGCCTGTCCTTGTTGGCTCCTCTTGCAGTGGAAAAATACAAGGGGGCCGGATTTCTGCAGGGAAAAGGCAATAACAGCGATCTGGACTAGCATCGGTACTCCCTCCGTCCCGTTAAGATTGTCGCTCGGGAAGCGGGATTGTGAGGGGGGCACGGTTTTCCAACGACAAACTCAATGGGACGGAAGGAGTACTTGCTATTCCCGTTTTCCCAAAAGAAAATCCCTGTTTTAGGCCAACCATCACCAACCACGACATGTAACAGTGGACTCGCTGTAGAGGATCTGACCAGGGAGGGGGATGTGATGTGACTGTGAAAGGTTGCACCTGGCCTGTGGGTGGCCATGAGATTTCAGATTTCCCGTTCACATTCCGGACTTCTTAAAATCTAGAACGTAAAGTTTCGTGGTGTTATATCGGATTACACATGGCATTTGGATGTTTAGATATTAATAAAAAAAAAATTTAGAATCAATCAATAATCTATTAGACAAATTTATTAAGTCTAATTAATTCATTATTAACATATGTGTTAATGTAGCACCATATTTTTAAATCATAAACTAATTAAATTTAAAAAATTTGTCTCACAAATTAATAGTAAACTGTATAATTAATTATTTTTTAGTACTCTCCGTACAGAGAGTAAACTCGAAGAGAGAAACTAACGTCGTGTTTAGTTGGACCCCAAAGTTCAAAAAATTGCTACAGTACTTGTCCCATCGAATGTTTGCGGCCCGTACATGGAGTATTAAATGTAGACGAAAATAAAAACTAATTACACAGTTTGGTGGGAAATTACGAGACGAACGTTTTGAGCCTAATTAGTCCATATTTAAACACTATTTGCCAAATAAAAACGAACATGCTATGGTAACCCCAAAATCTAAATTCACCCAACTAAACAAGGGCTAAAATAAGGCCTCGTTGAGCCCACCCAACCTGCACATGATCCTACTGTTGTGCACACTGATTGATGAGAAAGAACTGTAGTGGTTTGTCCTCTACCCAACCCACCAGTATGAATCCTGCCCTACCCTTTATACACTGGCCATGAGCCCATTACACCAATGATCAGACCAAACACCCGCTGCAAAGCAAAGATCACCCTGGATTCCTGGAGCACGGAAAGAAAAAGCCTAGAGCAAACATCATTTGGTGGACTGGAGCGAGCAGCTGTTGGCACTTGCAGTGGCACTGTGGCACTCTGGAATCTGGAGAGCGTAGGTAGAAAAGCAAGCAACCCGATGGCTTCATAACACCAGCACCCTCTGCAATCAGGTTAGGAATTAGTATGCTTTCTTTGAAGTAAATTCGAATATTATCTCTCCTTTTTATAGATCTTTCCCCAACGCGCTCCGATTGGGAAAAGGGTATCGCCATCTTGGGGTTGTTCACTGTCCAGTTCTTCCCTTTCTTTCTTTCTCTTTTTTTTTTTTTTTCTTTTTTTTTTGAGCTGTGGGGTGGTTGAGGCATGTGCTGATGTGCATGCTGGCTGCTGTAGCCTGTACTGTATGCTGAGTCAGCCATCCACTGGGCCTCACCCTCTTCCTGCATCAGGTGGGGTTCATGGACAGAGAGGTGGGAGGAAGGTTGCCATCTCGTGCGTGTCTGTTGGATCTTTGTGAGTCATGCCCTCTTTGTCTTCTTGCTTTCTTGGTCCTCATTATGGTTCTTGATTTTGCCTGATAGGGTAGAATTTTAATCGAATAAAGATTCTTTCGAGTAAAGGGGGTTAGATGCTTGATTCCACATCCAGCATTTCCCTTCCCTTTTTCTGTATATTATATAAAAAATTCCTTTTCTTATGGTTTGCATCCTCTTTGCCTCCCAAAAAGCAACTGGATTCGATGCCTATTGGTTCTTGTGTTGGTGGGAACAGTAAGGCTGTGCAAATAATGCAGTGCTGAGGTAATTGCTGCGAAAGATTAGAGAGGGTTTAAACGTGGGTGGTTGTGATGGTGGATAGGGATATAGGATAGGGCCAACCTAGATGCGGCTGAGCCGCTGAGGATAGGGGAGGCATGCATGATAGAGACCTCAAAGGCCAGGTGAGAGCTCAGTCGAGTCGACGGTAATGGCGCCGCAGCTCCTTTAGTTGGCAGACGATTGGCATGCCACGGTTCCTGGTTCATCTCGCTGAGTTAGTCTGACTTCAAGGCTTGTGCGGTGTTGCTGATTGGCAACAAAAGGTTCAGGAATAGGCGCAGGATTTGGTTGTGTTATTTCTGTTTCGTCAGAGGAGGGATTTGAGGTCTCTGATTCATTGGCATAGTCTTTTTATACTTGTTACATCTTTTGGGAATTATAAGGGCGCGTTTAGTTCGCGAGGATTTGAGGTCTCTGATTCATTGGCATAGTCTTTTTATACTTGTTACATCTTTTGGGAATTATAAGGGCGCGTTTAGTTCGTTAATTTTTTTTTGGGTTGGGCTACTTTAGCACTTTCGTTTGGATTTGTCAATTAGTGTCTAATTATGGGCTAATTAGGTTCGAAAGTTTTGTCTCGCGATTTCTCATCCAACTGTGCAATTAGTTTTTTTTTCATCTATATTTAATACTCCATGCATGTGCCGCAAGATTCGATGTGACACTTTGGGGTGAAAATTTTTGAAAACTAAACATGACCTAAGTTTTGTAAGCAGTTGAGTTTACTCTATCTGTATCTGTTTCAGTCCCGCACTTTGTCTCTGACATTTATTCTTTCTATTCTTCCCTGCAGTGCTGCCAGCTTTCACATACACAGGTTGGGGGGGGTGCAGTTGAGATTTTCTAATTCTTCTTCTTGGAAGGATTGAGATCTTCAGTTCTGGCATGGGTTCTTTTGGGATGAACTGGAATCAGAAGAACTCCATGGTGTGGGATTGGGAACATCTAGTGCCATCTGTCTCGAATGCAGTTACAAGGCATGGATCTGCCAATTCATCTGGTGGTACTCTTACTTCTAGCTCAGAGTTAGGGCATGGTTCATCCAAGAGCTCTATTTCAGCATCCATTGATTCACCCTCTGGAGTAGGGAACAGCTTAGAGTTCAATTTTGCCGCTGTTGAGAGGCATGTTAAGAACACGGGCACCAATGGTAGAGTCGATGACCCGGGGATTTTTCCATCGTCAATGATAGCTTTCAGCCAAGGAGAGCCATTAATTAGTCTGAAGCTTGGAAAGAGGGCTTACTTTGAAAATGTCTGCGGAGGACAGGATGCCAAAGTTTCTGCACCTTCAGATGTTACTTCTGCAGCCACCGTGGTCAAGAAGACTAAGGTGTCTCAGCAGAATGCAAAGAACTGGTACTGTCAGGTTGAAGGTTGCAAAGTTGACCTGTCTTCTGCTAAAGATTACAACCGCAAGCACAAAGTCTGTGTAGTCCATTCTAAAGCTCCCAAGGTGGTTGTTGCTGGTCTAGAGCGCCGGTTTTGCCAACAGTGTAGCCGGTGAGATTTCCTTACATTTAATCTGTGTTCTGTTTTCATTCTACAATATTCCTATTTGTATTTGCCAAGTTACAGTTTTTGGCATCTTGAGGGAGGGATCTTTGAAAATGTGACCAGCTGAAAGCAATACCACCACCTACTTTAGTTGTAGAACGAAGTGGACCAGTGCTAGTCTACATGATGCTCAATTATTTTGCTTGGCTCAGACTCATGATATTTATGTTTATTTATCCTTTACTGATTGAGGTGCACAGGAATGCTAGCATGAAACGAATAGTGAAGAAAAATTGGTGTTTCCTTTTTGTTTCTGGCATTAGTTGTAATGGTGTATGAGTGCCTAAGTGGAGTGTTGAACTATTGATACAACATCTTGAGAAGGGAAAATTGCAGACAAGCTTATAACTAACATTTACATTTTGATTTGTTATTGACATAATGAAGCTTCATTTGCCTCTTTTTTTAATCCTTCACTGTTTGTAGGTTTCATGGTTTAGCGGAGTTTGATCAGAACAAACGAAGCTGTCGTAGGCGTCTTACTCATCATAATGCACGACGGAGGAAACCACAGGCAGATACAATATCATTCAATTCATCACGGCTCTCGACAATGTTTTATGGTAGTACTGAGATCTCAAAACACCTTCTAAGCTAATGAGCTACATGCTACTGATTCAGTACCTCTTTACTTTTCTGCGTGGCCCGCTTCTGAATCTTATATGTTAAAAGAGCACTTTATATTTCCTGCAAAAAAGAGAGCACTTTATATAAGTATCAAATGGCTAATCTGCTATTAACTTGTTGAGCGGTTCTGCCCATATTTTCAGATTGATGATTGAATGCAAATTCTTTAGTCAATTTATGCTTCTGAATAAAATGATGATACATGTTTCAAGTAGTAAAAATAAACATCTGTTCAGACTTCAGATCTTTGCAAATTCATATTCACCATATTAGTCAAGGACTTATCCAACTTCATGACACTTGTAGTAACCACATACCATGACTGTATAACTTCTCTTTTAGTGGGATTATCCTTAGCATGTTTTTTTAGTGAGCGGGATTATCCTTAGCATGTTCCTGTTTTCTCTCTAGATGTATTATCTTTAGTTGTGTAGAAACATTTTTAGTTATCCTACCCCCAATTTTCCTTCGGACTAAAAGGCTTTGTTGTTGTTGTTGTTGTTGTTGTTGTTATGGAAACACTTTAGTCTTAATGCTGGTATTATTTGCATTTGCAGATACAAGCCAGAGGACAAATCTTTTCTTTAATCAACCTCTTTATGGCCAAGTGAGAAGCAGTGCAGTTCCTTCATGGGATAACTTGGGAGGCTTCAAATTTATGGAAATGAAACATCTGTCAGTGCAGCCAACAAAAACAGTAGGCCATGATGAGCTGCATTTCTCAAGCCCCCAGATATCAACTAGTGTTGTGGCTCACACTGGACATCATCATAATTTCGATGGGTTCATGCCATTCAAGGGAACCAACACGAAGGTCCTTAACCAAGGTACATTGCTAATCTACAGATCTATTACTGAACCTGAGAAGGTTAAACAGTAAACTCTATCAGCACTAAAAATTAACCATATTAATGAAGTATCTGACTGAGATTAACTTTTACAATTCCTAAGAAACTGCCCAGATGGTCTCTCGTATTATTTGAATGATTATTCTCAGTAAGCACTGCTTTTTTAGGTGACATCACAACAGGTTATCTACACGATCATTATAATTCTTCGCAGTTTCACCTTTCACGATACTGAGCCAGCACCTTGTTCTTTCTGGCTCCAATTTGCATACACCATTAACGTTACACATTTTCTATCACCATGGTACTTTCTAAGCGTGTTGTTCTGGGCTGGGAAAACCCAGAAATTAGTTCATCCATTTGCAGTAGCTTATATTCCTTTACATTTACTTCCCCTGAGTCTATCATCTGGAGAAAGACAACGAACACATATCCTATCTTGCAAGTTCAGAGTTAACAGGAGCAAGCTTAGTATTACAGTTCTGCGCTACTGATGCACATTTTTCATCTCTAACAATTTCAGGTGTGGAAGCTTCCGCGGCCGCTTCCAACTCGAATAACGGAGCCCCAGAACCTGGGCGTGCTCTCTCTCTTCTGTCAGACGGCTTGTGGGGCTCAAGTTCAGCCGTCATCCAGCAGACTACTTCTCACGCGGATGCTGCAGGTGCATTGCCGCCCCTCGCCACTGTCGCTGGCTCCAACGACGCCGCTGGGCATCCTCTGAACCCGTCCCAGGGAAGGTTATGGCAATGTGATCCTCCGCCGCTTGACGGAACTTCGCAGATTCAAGAACTGGCGCACCTACGAACATGGTGAAAATGAAAGATAAATAAGGAACTGCGCAGATTCAGGAACTGGCGCACCTCCCATGCCATCTCGAGGGCCTGGGAACTTCTGGTTAGTCATTTTGATGGTAATCTGCGGCTCTGATTTGAATCTGCCGGTGACAGTGTTTGGACTTTAGACAGTGTTTGGTGTCTTTTGATCAAAACGGGCACTGACATGTTTGCACAATGTGAGTCCCTCTATCATTTGGGGTGAGGATCGAGGAGTGAGGTGAAGATGGAGGAACAATATGAGGCAAGATTTTTTTTTCGCACGATTCCCACCAGTATTTATAGTTTTAGGATCAGTTGTGTGTTTCTGCTGAACTAGGTTTCGGCGTTGCCGTTAGAGAACTTTATTCAAGTAAAATTCATGGCTGGTAATGTGGTTTCTTGCGTCAACGGCACTACAGACGTACACGATGGTGGTGTAACTTTTGTGTCTGATGACGATGTGGTCGTGTACTTGGCCCAAGATTTTGTTTGGCTCTCATGTCTGTTTCTCTGCTCTACCACTGATGACTACCGAGCAGACGATGGCCCTGCCGCCTGATGCACCTCATGTGCAGTGCCGTGCCCGTGCGGGTTCACTGTCCCGCCTCACGGTCACGGGGAAATGTCGAGCGCCAGCTGTCTGTGTGAGTGTGAGTGTGAGTGTAAGCTACCAAGCAAAGCAGTATCTACTTCCAGAGCGGTGGATCTCCATGAAACCGTTTACAATGACAATCTACCTGGAGCTAATAGTAGCGACATGTTTTTTTTTTCTTTTTGATGAAACGAGACATGTTTTTGCAGACAAACGAGAAGACTGCCGTCATTTGCAGCATATATCCACCTCCATGAAACCGTTTACAATGACAATCTACCTGAAGCGAATAGTAGCGACATGTTTTTTTTTTCTTTTTGATGAAACGAGACATGTTTTTGCAGACAAACGAGAAGACTGCCATCATTTGCAGCATATATCCACCATCACGTGTCACATCTGAAAGAATCAAGATGTCTAAGAGAGGTGAATTGAGCTAATTCTAAATTTCTTGCAATAATTAAGCCATATACTTAGTCCATTTCACCCCTTGTGCCTAAAAGTGTTTCTATTGTTCTATCGCACAAGAGTTTTGCACCATATGTTTCTAATACTACTCTATCATGGTAATTCTAGGAATATAGAGACATGAATTGAATTGTTCAAAGTAAAGAGAGGAAGAGGAACGTGTTGATGTTTTTCCGAGGTATCGAAGAGTCGCCACTCCCCACTAGTCCTCGTTGAAGCACCCGCGCAAGGATCAAGTGCTCTCTACGGGCTGATTCTTTAACACTTCGTCGCGGTGAATCGCCAACAACCGCTCACACCATGACTGCTTGTGCCTAGGGACCTAGACCCCTTGACAGGAGAGTTGTGGGTTGGTCTTGCTTGTACCTGGGGTACAAGAGGGGCGTGTGTTTCGGAGTACCCAGCTGGGATACATTGATTCGTGAATCGCCGTGTGATACAGTACGACTTGGCTATGGTCTAGCACCGTAGTAAGAACTGGAAGATGAACGAGGATGAATGGATCTGATTGATCAACTCTTGCTTTAAAGTAGAACAGATGTGCCGGGTTCATAAACCCGGGGTCCCTCGGGGACCGGCTTCCATGTCAGGGCTCGGCCCAAGAAAACAACATGCAGTTCATGGCCGCCCAAAAGTCTAAAACACAACAGGCCGGAAAGACAGTCCGGTCGCCGACCGAAAGGTCTACCCGAAAGGGACAAGTGCCCGCTCGTCAACTTCTTCGGCCCACCTCTCCGACCGGAGCACCCGCTTCGGACACCAGTCGCCTCCAGGCGGTCTCTCCGATCGGAAGGCCTAGCCCAAGACGCCGCTTCCTACTCCGACCCCGCGTCTCCGACCGGGGACCCATAGGAAGCCTGCTTGCCATTCCTCTCCGACTGGCACGGCCAGGACCGACTGGGGTCGCCCGACCGGGGGCGCCCGCTCGGAAGGGACTTGAGGCGAACGGAGAGGGCAACGCATAAGTCAAACCACGATACCAGGGACCATACCCTGTGCGTCTGTAGGAATAGTGCTCCACAATCGCCCTGACACAAACAGTATTGTAGGCGCCGACATTTGTGTCTACAGTATTGTAGGCGCCGTTGGACTCCCGTACGGCAAAAAGCCCCCCACATGCCTCTGGGCATAGATGGCACTATAGGCACCATGATTCACCATACCTGGTACACGTGGTAGGGCTCCTCACATATCAACAGTATTTTGCAGGTATCGACATCCACCCTTCCTGAAGAAGCCAACACAACCTCCCATGTGCACCTGACATTCTACACAGTAACATCAACAGTATTGTGGGAGCCTACCATCATCGTTGTCTTCATCGGCGTGGGCAACAAGGCTTAGTAACATCCGTACTCTCTCCCTCTCACCTGCAAAGCCATCCCCTTCATTTATAAAAGGGGATGCGCTCCCTCCAACAAGGAAGATCGATTTTCCCCCAATCGACTTCTTCAAGTTGAGATTCACTAGATCGACAGCTCGCAACCCCTCAAGCATACGCTCAAACACCTAGCTCATAGCGGAGTTCCGGTTGCCCTCGGTTCTTCCGGTCGGACCCGACCGGGCCTCTCGTACACCCCACCTTTCTCCTTCTCGTTTGTAACCCCACTACAGACTTAGAGCACCTGGGCTCAGGAATAGAGTCACCGACCGACCCAAACTCGACGTAGGGCACGTTGCCTGAACCAATATAAATCCTGTGTCATTGAGTGCTAGGCCACCTCTGATCACAACGTACAGTAAAACTACAAATATTCACTAGTTGGTCACTTTCTGTACCGACAGTTGGCGTCGTCCATGGGGAAGACGTTGTACGTTGAACACTTTTTGGTCATCGGATGGCCCATTTTTCCGCCACCCCCACCGTGGCGGGCTCGGGCGATACGATTTGCTTCGGCTCGCTGGACTTTCCCGCACTCTCACCCGCCGGGATGTGGGTTACACCCGTCTTCAAGCCGTCCTAGGCCTTCCTCTTCGGAAGCCTGGATTTCGTCGCCGATTGGCTCGGCGTACTCCACCTCCGCGAGGAGACTCGCGACCTAGCACTTGTCGGAGAAATGTCCTCCATCGACTCCGGGACGCGCGACCTCAACGGCGCGGCATCTGCGCTTCATTCCGAGCAAACTCTCTGCTCAAACCCCACTGTAAGTAATACGCATACTTTTATTCGCCCTTTATTTACTACCTGCCACCGATCACCCGGGGGGACTGCACCGCCTACACCACAAACATCGTACGGTCGGTTCCCCTATGGCCTCGCGTCCTCCATGGATGCTTACGCTCAGGGGCTCCGTAGGACGCTGGCATCGTCCCCGCTCACGTCCGAATTCGTACGAATGGCAGGCTTCGCCCCTATCGTTTCCCGCTAACTCCCAGACAACAAGGGCGAGAGCGATGGTTCCAGCATCGGTGATATGGCGCCCCGCCACCATCCATCCCGGGAATGCGCCATGGCGGACGGTCTAGGACAGCCGCCGGTAGTTGCGGAGTCTGCGCAAACTCACACCCTCCGGACCCGCGTGCGGAGGCCCTCGCGTCTACGTAAGCGCACGCCGAGGAATTACGACAACGGCGGCAGAGCCAGCCGCCGCCCGCGCCGGCACGGTCAGCACGACACGTTGCGCCCCATGCGCATGGCCCGGCGGGGGGCGCCCGGGGTCGCGCTCGTCAGGTCTAGCACGACATCGTGAACGAGGGGAACGATGTCCCACAATTTGCCCGGGCCGGCCAGAATATCACGGCTCTAGCAATGCTTCTGCGCGGTGTTCTCGAGCCCGTCGACCCCCAGGAGCGGGCAGTCTACCGGAACCTCCGGGTTCTAGTAGAGGCCGCCGCCGTCCAGCAGGCGGAAAGCTCCGCATCACAACTCCGACCCGCGCCCTCTCTCCCCACCGGGGGACGGGGACGCACCAGCCGGATCGCTCCGTTCGCTCACCGCTACAGCCGTCAGGCTCAGCTCGGGGTGCGGCAGCCACACCACGGTTCGACCGGGCGCCTGCCCCACACCGACCGTCGATAGGCGAGCGGCCCGATCCGCATCAGGACGCTCGTAGCGTCATCAACGACCGGCATCGGGCCCAACACGATAACGATGTCCGTCGTACGGCACTAGGCGACACGAATCCTGGCCAAACCATCGAGGGAAGCGGTGAACGCGCGCCAGGCGTGGTCGCCGGCCGAACGACCGGAGCCCTAGCCCTGAGGGCCCGGGGCCACGGGCCTTCAGTCCGGCGCATCCGGAGAGCACCGTTCCCACAGCATTTCCGGCCTCCCTCCAACATCACCAAGTACATTGGGGAGACAAACCCAGGCATTTGGCTCGAAGACTTCCGGCTCGCCTATCGAGCCGGAGGAGTGGATGATGACTATTTCATCATCCAATATCTTCCCATTTGCTTGGGGGAACATGTTCGGGCATGGCTTGAATTCCTTTCACACGACAGCATCCACGACTGGGCGGACCTTAAGAGGGTCTTCGTCGGGAATTTCTAGGGGACGTACGTCTGCCCGAGAAACTCCTGGGACCTCAAGAGCTGTCAGCAGGAGCCCAGTGAGTCCCTACGGGATTACATCCATAGGTTTTCTCAACGGTGCAACTCCCTCCCTGATGTCGTCGACGCAGACGTCATCAGCGCATTCCTCTCCAGGACAAACTGTGAGTCCCTGATCCACAAGCTTGGCTACCTAAAACCCCGTACCACCCGCGATCTGCTCGACGTTGCCACCAACCACGCCTCTGGCAAGGAGGTGGTCGGAGTGGTCTTCAGCGGAGGCCGGGACAAAGGCATGCCCAAGCGCGCAGATCCGGACGAAGGCCCCTCCACTCAGAGGGGCAAGAAGAACAAGAAGGATCGGCGTCGGTCGAACAACACCGCGTTGGTCACCGCGGCTGATCACACACCCAGGCAACCCCAACAGGGACTGCCTGACCACTTCAA